TTGGGGGGGGAAGCTTCAGCCAGGAAGCTTTTTTTTTCATATATTTATCGTTAATTACGTTAAAAAAAAAATACTGACTACCTATACGAAATGGCATTTAAGTGATTCTTAAAGTTCTAATACCATTTAAATGTTATTACAGAAACAATAATACTTTAAGAGATAATTTTTTTATATTTTTTTCCATAAAGTATGGTTACATTTCACCATTTTGGGGGAGGGCTTCTGCCCAAACCCCCCCTCCCCTTCCCCATAGAACAGCCTGTGGCTGGGAATAGGAAGTACAAAGATGTACTTACATCTCCCTTTTTTTTTATGTAACAAAAATGATATGATTTTTTATTATTATTTCACTAAATTCAGTTTATAAAATGAGCTATGGTTATCAGAAACTCACATTTACTTAGAAATATGCTTTTACTCCTGACTTCGCTCCCGAATATTTTGTTTTAATTTATCCTGGTAAGCTTTTTTTTTGTATCATCATAATAAAATACAATACATTTTCTGCCAAAGTCCCGTTTTTTTACTAATTCTTTGCTACAAGGAACCCCAATGATTTTTTTTTTTGGATTATGATGTAAAAGGGAACATTTAGTAATTGTTTAAATTTTTGGCTCAGATCATCCATAAGAACACAAATATATAATAATAATAATTTTTGTATTTGGAGGGAGATGAAATCTTCACCCTGAAAGCCTCCCCTCCCTTCTGAATCCACTTATTCAGTGTACAAAGCTAGTAAATCAATCGAGGTATTCAATACAATTATCTTGCAAGAACTCAGCCACTACATTATAAACAGAAAACAAATCATAATATAGACTTTTGAAAGAAATTTTATATCTTGGTTGCTGTATTCTTTCTTTTTTTTTTTTTTTTTTTTTTTCTTTTCACCATTCATTACATTTTTTTTGGATTACATCTTTATTTGGTTATGAAATTTTTATGAGTTGAGAATTTTTTAAGGAAATCATATTTTTGCGGGGTTTCAGTTTAGGGAAACTTTCAAAACAGGTAATTAGGAAAAACTGAACTTTGTTTTTTATTATTTTACTTTTACTTGAACTATTTTAAAGAAGAGGCATTCAATAAAATTTCTTAGTAGGTAAAACATGAGCCATTCTCATTTTGGTTAATGAGCATCCCTTCACCACAGTAAAAAGTACTAACAATTTCACACTCTAAAATAATTTTTTAAGAGTTTTAATGAAACAAAAATTATGAGAAAACACCCCTGTTATGGTTACTCAACATAAGTTATAAATGAAATTTTACTTATATTAAAAGGTAATAACAAGGGTTATTGCTCGTGTTGTAAAAGACTTGTTTTAATAGAATTTTTTTTTCATTTTATTAGTACAACAAACTGGTGTCAAAAAAATATTGAATCCTAAAATTTTTGTAATCAGTTATTCCAATAATCTACTTCATATACTTATTTGTATATGATTTTATCTCAACAAACTTAATTTTATGTCATGTATTCTTTTTATAAAATATTTTGTTTTGCTTTTTCCCTGAACTGAATTCTTGTCTTTGTAGAGAATTGTTGGAGGAAAAAAAAGTTAGTGAGAACAGAACACTCATTTAATTGTATTTGATTGTTGATTCCTGATAACAATGCCCTTAATGTTTTTCTGAGTAATTGTTCAATTTATTGAAAACATATCTATGCACACTTTAGTAGTTAAGAGGGCTATGAATCGTTTCTTGTTATTTTTAAACAGATAATACAAGGAGCCTGAGAAATCTTTAAAAAGGCGTACAGTTTCATTAAAAAATATAGAAAATCATTTGTTTGTAAGAAAGCATTTTATTGTTTTATACTATTTCATTAATATTTGTATTTAAAAATAGGAGTCATAAGGAAGGCTCCAAGAAAAAAAATTGACAGAGCTATTATTGATTATTATATAATCTGTTGGTTGTATATATTTATTTCTGAGTGGCACTATAGTCCATGACAGCCCTTATTTGCTTCGCTTGCCTTTCTTACTTGGTAACATTTTGATCCCCCTTTACCTTGTGTAGAGTCAAGATGGATTGTAACAGTGATAATCTATTTCTCTTTTGTACACCAGCTTTCGCTGCTAATTCTTTTGCCTGACTGATTGCGCCTTATGATTTTAACTTTCAATGACAGTCTTTTTATCAAGATTATAATTTTAATAGGTATGATTTAAAAATTTTCTTTGCTACATAACTGAAAATTTTAGTTGATTTGACTTTATGTAATATACTACTTAATTTTTAATTGTTAACTGGGTCAAATGATAACATTTATTCTATTATTTTTTCAATGTTTTGCTACCAATTTTCCCATACAGCCAATTATTTATGATCATTCATTTTATATTTTTGAATATAGGGGACAAGAATATTGAATATAGTTAATTAATGACGATAAAATGTTTACCAAAAACATTGTATGCCCAAAATTTACTGCCATTTAATCTAAAATTTATTTTTTAAATCTGTGAGAAAAAAGTGTTCATTTTTCAATTGTCAGTGTTTCAATATCACCATAATTTTTTCTCAGCTAGAAGCCATAATAACAGCAAAAAAATACAATTCCTACTCACCTTTATGATTTAGAGTAATTTTAATAAATGATTAGTTTCAATGTTTAAGAATTTAGTGATAAAATATTTACACCAAGATGCTAAAGGGACCCATCCAAATTGGTCCTCGATACCATATGAATATTAAGCCATTCCAAACCAATGGCAAAGTTATATCCCATCACTAATGAGAAATCCAGTCTAAAATCAGATATAACTGTCATAATTTGCAAAACAAAATTAAGGACATCAATGATATATAATTGTGAATTGTGGGGTGCAGCATCCTGTATTAAACAGAAAAAATTTACAAACTTTTCAAAATAAGATCTTCAGAACGCCAGCAGCTCTTCCCTTAATAGCCAAATGCCAAAATTTCAGGAGACAAAAAAAAGTTTAAAAATTGAGAATTTATCATAGTAAAATATGTATTTTTGCCAAGCTATAGGCAACTATTGGCTGGAAAAATTGAAAATGAAATGCTCGGTGTAATATTTAGGGAAATATAAAAACGTCTGCCAAGTAAGGTCAGTATAGCCTCCTCACCGATTTCATTGGCTAAAATATATCTAAATTACTAGGTATACAATTTTTCGTATGAGAATAAAGTCTCTGGAGAAGCCAATTCGGAAATACAATTTTCCTTAAACATTCGCGGGTTTGCTATCCATGAATTTCGTTTATCAGCTAATATTAAAACGCGAAAGAGTACCATATTTGAAGATTCCATATTGATTATTCATAATTTAAAAAAAAAAAATACCAATGCATACTGAACATGCATTTCACTATTGATAGTGTAATATCTTGTATATAAAAACTCATTATTTCTTTATGCTTTATTGCTATAATTTCATATTGTATTGTCCTCTGCTATTTTCCATAGTAGCAGACTACTTATATCAGTTGCAGACTAGAAAATGTCACCTTTAGCACAAATAGAATAAAAGTTGTAAATTTTTACATACGACCTTTTGCACTAGTAATAGTTATATATACTTAATAGGTATGTTTTCACTCGTAAAATGGATGGATCTAGAAAATTCATAGGAAAAATTCATCTTGTTTGTTCGGATGTAAGTATGTAACGGCAGCAAGTGTCATGCCAGTAATGTTCGGAATCGACCAAACAATACAGTATCAATTAATTTTTTTAATAAAACCTAAAATTTTATAATCCCATAACAATATTGTAATAACCTAACTCCCACTACAAATGATCAGTGCCTTCAACATTTCACAGCCATTATATTGTTAACATTTGTTTTTATTAATTTTAATTATTAAAGTAAATTCAATGAAATTGATACTAAGTAATTTCTATACTTTTCTCCAAGTTTGGGTCAAATCGATTGTGCCGTTTTCAAACTATAGGAATATCAAATAACACATTTCCTGATTTAAAAGCGGAAGTATTTTTTTTTTGAAGTAGTAGATGGAATTTGATAAAATTGGTGCCTATTTCATTTTACTTACCAGTCCCTAAATTCCATCTAAATTTGAGCCCAATCGAACTTGCTGTTTTAGAGATATAGATGTATCAAGGAAAACACGTTTGCGCATATATAAGAGGAAGCAATGGACAGAATTCAACAAAATTGACCCTACATTATTTTTTCACAAATACCTACCTTTTATCCAACTTTGAGCCAAATCGAATTAGCAGTTTATGAAATATTGGCACATCTACAAAAATGCGTTTGCACTTGCGTAAGCGGAAGTACTGGTTAGAATTTAATAAAATTGATATGGGACCATCTAGACACCATCCAGCACAATTCCTGAAAATTTCATGAAAATCTGATAAACGGTAGTAGGTGATATGTCCGTTACATCGATTTGACTACAAACAGACACCGAACCAAATTTGAACCTTGATATCTGAAACATAAAATGTGAGTGAAAATTTTGATTCTGAGCACAAAAAATTGTTTAACCTCTTGCAAGAATACAATGCTTCCCTACCTTCAGTAGTGAGGAAGCAAAAAAATAAACATACATCAAAACCTTTTGTACTTAAGCGGATTCTCAATACTGCCGACAATGCATAAAATTACATTTACTTAGTTATGAAAGACCCTGTTTAATTATAACACTATTTTATATTTCCTTCCATTTGACAAATAATTGTTGAATTCAAGTTACTTAAATTCAAAATAATTGAGAACAACATGTTATCTGAAATATTTTCATCACAACTTTGTCAATCATATATCTTGAAAATTTATGAAATTTTTCATATCCTAATCCAGCTTAGGAGTAGTTGTTACCTTTGTTATGAATAATTATTCTATTTTGATAATTAAGTTACATGTTGATAGGGTTTGATCTCTTTTTTTTTTTTTATTATTTATCCTAATGTTTTTACCTTGCCCCTTTCTTAGAAATTTATGAAGGACAATAAGAAAGTTTAAAACAAAAATAGAAACATTGTATAAAAGAACAGAACTTGTCTTTATTAACATAAATAAAATATAATTTGAAAATAAACAATATTCTATAACTATATAAACATATCTATTTATTTGTATAACATTCAATATATATTTATATACTTCTTTTGATTTCTCCCATTCCACCACACAAATAAATAAAATTTTTACAGCCCTTTACGTCTATCCCATTTTAAAAGTAATAATATAAAATGCTCATGATCACATTTAGATTTTCATAATTGGAAGATTTCAAATCACTATATATTAATGGTAAAATTAACCCTGCATTAAGTACAGACTCTTTGGTTATATCTTCACTTAGAATATTTGTTTAACACACATATTAATATTTTAGGCCTTTATGTGTTCGATTTTCTCTTTCCCCATGCCAATATACTCAGGTTTCCAAAGCTGGTTTTGAAAGAAAGAATCGACTATAGCTACAGCTAGCGTACCATCCTCTTCCCCTTCCTCCATCTGGCTGGACAGGTCTTCATCCATCTGAAAAAATAATATCTACACTGTTTATTTAAAGTAAAAAAAAAACTTCCCGACTTCTAGAAAAATGTGTTGCATATAAAGAGAGATGGAAAAATTGAAATCAATGATTAAATGATAACAATTGCAAATAAACCCATGACCACAACAATTTTATACTTGATTCAACAGTATTATAAATATTGCAAAATTGTGACAATTGCCTGATTACAATCGTAATCATAGACCTGACTACCCATGTACTTATGTAATCGTTAGTTATAATTATGCCACTCTATGGTTGTATAGAGTTATAAAAGGGCATTTATATTTATATTTTTAAAAATAATATACATAAGTGTATATCATTATGTACTGGTGGGAGAACTAGTCTGGCAAGTAGGCCTAAGTGGTCCTTTTTGCCAACCCCTGACGGCTACCTTGAGGCTGCCGCCGCATACTTACTAGAGTGGAAATGTCACGATCGATTTCCCGGGGCCGCTGAGAAATGAAAAGTAACGGACCCAGGTGGGAATCAACCTACAACGTTTAGAACCGGACAATCTCGGACCCATGTCCCAATGTGCAGAGCCAGCTTGTCCTCATATCATTATGTAGGTAATTAAATCAAAGTTGATAAGTTTGGATTAGGTTTTATAAAAGCCAAATATCTATAAAAAATAGTAAGAAATAGAAACTTAAAATATAAAAAAACACAACAAATTTCCTTAATATAAATTTGAATAAACACAGATTAACCATTTACCATATTTCAATGCTATATTATACTCTGCTACATTACCATATACCAATACTAGCAAGTATCTGACAAAAATAATTATAAATTTAATAATCATGTTTCAAAATAAGAAAAATAAAATGAATAATAATAAAGGAAGGCACAGAGAGAAAATAATTGAAAGACATTTTAATAAAATCTTCAAAAAAATCATAAAAACAAAAATTAAAAAAAAAATCCATTTAATTTATACAGAAATTCTTTTTTTGTTACTGTTCAATAATATAAAAGAAGAAATTATTAGTAATTAGTTTTTCATCACTCACTTCTATGACTTTAAATTACATATTTTTTTATCTAAAATCTTTAGCTTTTCAATGATATATTTATTATACATTTTCAACCTGGAAAAATATTTCTCCTTTTTGTTAATTATGAAATCCTTCCATATTTTGTACTTAAACATTTTTTTTTAATACTACTAACAATGATAGATTATTAATTGTTTCAAATAAACCAAATTAAATGTGCTTTAGAGGAAGCTGTTTTGTAAAGTCCACATTGAGATAAAGAGTTTCGACAAAATTCTTAGAACATTTTTTAAGAAAATTGAAAAAAAAAAGTGTGAAATCAATTACATAAAGAGTACTGATGCTATGATGATTTTAATGAAAAAGACCTAGTAACATCCTAGTTTTATACAACTTTTCATTTTTTGAACTAAGCTGTTCGCATGCATAGAGACTTGTATAACATACACGAGAACATAAAACATGTATTCATGGGAACTAAGATGAAAAATTTTACATGATTACGATATTTTCCCTTGTGATATATTTATAGTTTAGATAAATGGAATAATAATGGTTTTAAATAAAAGTTGATTACCAAAAAATAAATTTAGAAGGCAATCTCTTGCAACAAAATAGTGCTAACTCTTAATTCTTATTCATTTCAATTAAATACTTTTTTACTTATTTTTAGAAAGGTATTAACTTATTTTTTCACGACTCAATACCTGTTAAGTTTCATAGAAAAGATAACTTCCTCCACTTTTTTCCCCTCATTAATTATTTAATTGAATGAAATGAAGTGCAACATTATTACTCTGTTAAGAAAGAAATTAATAACTTTTATGAATTACTATGTAAGTTTTTAAAAGATGTCTAAATATAAAATTTTTAAATGGAAGTTTGGTTTCTATAAGCATACTTGGTTTTTTTTCTTCAGGACTGATAATAGATAACAATTAAATTGATAATTAACAGTTAAATGTTTAAAAAATATTAATCTAGCTTTAAAATTACTTTGAATTGTGCTGTTACTTTATAGTCAGACACATTTACCGAATGATGAATAGTTGATTTTTTTATTGCAGTTGGTAAATTTAAATGCTTACGTAATGATGGATCGGTGATAAAGGTGGCGGTGATCTATTCCTCAAACGATCAATCAGCTTTTCTCTTTGAAGTCTTACTCTCTTTTCAGTTATACCATAAACATTCATAAATGCTTTTTGACACACTTCAATGGTTTTCCCTTTGCCTCGTGCTGTCATGACAAATGTCTCCTTACCTTTAGAATCTGAAAAGTCGAAACTGCTGTTAAATTCTGAATCAGTTTAATACTTTGGCATAAAAGATAAAATTTATCTTAAAATTATACTAAATTTCTTCATCATGTTTTTTTTTTATTTGGATGTGTTCATAATTACATTTCTTAGAATTTCATCTATATTTACATTCATGAGAAAATATGATTTTTCGATGACAGCTTTATATTATAAATCAAATTTATTATCTGTTTCATTTAATAGAGTAAACATATTGCAAATAATATTATTAGCGCAATAATAATTAAAATTAAAGTATTATAATTAAATTACAATACATTATGTACACAATGTCAATTATGTATCATAGTTATAATTGTATAATAAATTAATATTGGTATAATTGAATTACAATACATAATTAACAATGACATCATGTTAACAATTAAAACTTAACTAGTGAAATTAATTTAAATTATAAAATCATGCAGGGTATCCAAATCGTTATACAATGACCTACCTATTTAAGTTTTCATTTGTTTTGTTTAACATCTTCCAATTAATATTAACCAAATTGATTGATAAGAAATCTCATACAAAAGAAATGGGATGCTTTGTTTTAATTTTAGCGATAAATACTTAAATTTTGATTGACATTTTACTACATCAACATTATTTAATAAAACTGTGAAGTTTTATATAACATAAAACAATGTTAGGGTGACATTTCAGTTTTAATTGCATATAAAAAAAATAAATAAACTAAACATCAAACAAATTCAGATTTATTAAATATATGAAGGGGTTAGAATGGCAGAAGGGTGAGTCAACTGTGCTTTCTGTCCACAGAATAATATTTTTCAAATGCAGTTTAAAGAATTTTATATCTATATTTGGTTTATATTCAATAGACAAACATAAAATATATTTAGGAAATATTCACATTCTGAATTAAAAGCAAAATTAGTGGCTTACTCTAATGTCATTGTAATCCTCTTTTATATGAGAAAGTTATCAACCATTAATCATTCGTATTTTGAATATATTCAATCTTTTAGTAAGAACAATTTAAAACATAATAAAAAAAATATTGTTTGAACAATTTATCAGTTAGTTAAAGTTAACCTATTAAAAAATAACTACTCACTGGTTATAAGTTTAGGTTTGGGAAAATCAACATTTTCTATAGGGGGCATCTCTGAGATAGGTATCCTGTATTTGCAAGATACTCTCCTTGGTAACCGTCCCCTCACTTTCTCCTCTTCAGCCCATAACCTTCTGTAAACCGATCTCATCTCAATATATGATTGGAGGTAAGCATTCTGTGTGGCATGATCACCCAGCTTGCTGAAATGGGAATACAATTTCGTCCGGGACTCTGCTGGAACCCGAGTGTCGCATCTTTGTGGACAGGAGCATAGTACATCTGAAAACATTTTAAACATATAGTATTAAAATTAAACAACATATTGTTGGTGACTTTAATATTATGACTTAGCATTTGGAAGATAGTAAAAACTACAACCTATAATACCTATGAAATGTAATATATATTCTTTTCTTTAAAATTTACAGTGAAACATAATTTGATATGTCAGTATAATTTTCTTTTTCTGTATAAGTATCGGTTCAATCAAGTTTAAACTTATTATTGGTCCATCTTGTAAAATCAGTGTTGATAAAGTTTTAATATATATGAGTTAGTTCACAAAGATACTCAAGTATGTCAGGAATATGAGAAAAAATACATTGTTCTTTCAGGGTTCCACTGTTGGGTGTAAATTCGAAGGTCACATGCGCGGTCCCAGTGGGAACAATCTTTGTATGAGTAATTACAAATGTATGTTGTTCTTTTTTTTTGGTTTATTTGTTTTCCTTAATTATAATTGTAAATTTGCTACAGTCAGCTGAAAATCTCAGAATTATTGCAACATTGTGTCACATATCTTACATTTTGTTTCAATTTAATTTAACTCTTTATTTTGAACTTGTTGAGCTAAAAAAAATCAGTTGAACATTGTTTCATATTTTAAAAAACTACTAATTCTTGTATTATATTTTCTAATGGATGAAAATCCATTCAAAAATACAATCTATAGTATTGCTGAACAAATAAATGAAATATTGTTAGGTACCATGAGAGTCAAATAATGTCAAAATAATCTATAAAAGTTAGTTTCAACTAAATATACTAAAGATTTCAATCATAACTGCTCTTATTGGCGCTTTTGATTTCAGTCATTTTCTAATAGTAAACAAATATTAATAACCAGTTTTCTATATTTACAACACTGATCTTAACTGACATTTTTTAAAATTTGTATTTATTAATATTTACCATGTCATTTAATTTATACAAACATTAATACTTTTTATTGAAGGTTTTTAATTTTTTTATTGAAGGTTAAATTAAATTTTAATGAAATTACCTTACATTGTCATTATTTTTTATTTCAATGCAGTATATACACACTGAATTCTAATCTAATAACAAATCAAAAAGTCTACTTATTGTACTCTTATTGTTATTGTTTTTAAGGTAGTCATTATCAGTACTACCACACAAACTAATTTCTTAATAGGATATATTTTACGATAGCAAATTTTGTAAGTATTAAACTTATTGTTGATATCTTGGTTTCACTTTATCGAACACAGGAAAAGCACTTGTGAGATAACGACCATGATATCATCATTGTTCTATTTTTGAAATGATTTTGATAAAAAAAAAAAACCCCAATTGAAAATGAATCGATAAGGAATGGCATAAGGCAAAAAACGAAAATTTTGTGTATTTACAGCGGACCTGGTGTCAATATGGTTTTGCTTTTTTGTAAAGTTATTCTAAAAATTTGAAAACTATGTTTTTTTAACGTCTTTGGTAAGAAGTACTCCTGCTGAATAAATTATAAATATAATTTAAAAAATCCTAAATTCTAAAGTGTTATTACTGCAAAGTTGGCCAAAAAAAAAATAGGTTTGTTAATCTTTGAATGAAAATGATATTTAAAAAAAATTAATAATAGAAAATAACAAATTAATCAATCAATTAAATCCAAGCCATTGTTTGTTTAGTGTTTTGTGTATATAAAAAAAATAATTATATTAAATTACTAGAATGAATGATAAATTAATATGTGAATAACAATGTTTAATTGACTAATGATACAATTTTTAATTTGGGTAAAGAAAAGATGCTGGAATAAAACTTTAACCAAAATTATTTAATTAATTTTTAATGAATGACAAAAAACAAACAAATTATAAACAAAACCTTTTATTCATTATTTACTAGCGAATGGAATTAATTTTTAAATAACCCTGCGAGTGTCAGCATTGTTATTTACACTGAATTGTTAGCAAACGTTTATTTTTGTTTTATCAGTCATGAGTAAAGCTTTATCAATTTAATATTTCATGTTATCCTGCTCTTATCACATAAGGACAAGTTCGCGATGCAGGATTCCCATCAGTTTCCCTATGCCATCTAAATTTAACCGTAAAATATGAAAATAAAAATTCGCTTTTATGTAGTTCTGGAGGGAGGTCAGTTTGTTTTTCGTGGTGAAGGCACAAGGAAAAGTATTAGAGGTTTCACAAACACACGGCCATTTGTTGCTACCTCAAGGTCGGGGCCACAATAATAGCTGATTATGCAATAATCCTGCTTCATGAGCTTTGACACAGTTTTCAAAAGGTAGATTTTTACAACGCATTACTCCGGTGTTTATATAGGAAAACTTAATCCAGCGATACATGAAGAGAATAGATGTAAATAGGGTTTACGTCAACTAGTGATAACATATCAGCGGGCCATTATTTGGGGTACAGGTTCCACAGGCGAAGGTTACAACCCGCCACTATTCAAACTGTTGAGTCTACGGCAGTTTTGGTCTAACGTAGTTAATTTTTTGAGGGAATTTTATTTATTTTGTTTTTTGTACTCACCTGGTGGTACCCTCTTGACTTGTTGCTTGGTGGCCTTCTCCCCCTCGGATGGTTTGTTGTCAGACGTGTTGTTCCGCTGTGCCTTGACATCCGAAGAAGGTTGTTCGTCCATCACAGTCGATCAGTAGGAGGCACCCATGATAGCTCTGAAAGTACGTGGGCTCCTGTTGCAAACAAAAGAAAGCCTAATTAGATCAGTTAAGGAAGGGAATTATAGTAGGAGGGAGGGTGGTGGGGGCTGGCGGGATCGACCTTCCTGGCCTCTAGCGGCCTGCTCTCCAACTTCAACCGCTCCACTGTTTGTTCTTTTTATCATGTGACTGTCAAGGCTGCCTCCTTGTTAAAGCCCTAAATAGATATACATACACATTTCTGTTTCATAATTATTGTACGATAACAACAAAAATATTTCAATATATATACTTTCCTTTTAAGATCATAATCATTATGTATACTTATAGAAGTACGGATCTCTGGTAGCTGAGGTTCTGTAGTGGATCCAGAATTTATTTTTTTGGAGAGGAGAGGGCTTCAGCCCGAAACCTTTATCTACATATATAACTGTATTTACTTATTTTTTTTTTTAAAGAAATAGGTTGTTAGTACTTAAACAATTTCTAATAAGGTAGTGTAGATTCCTTTTCCAAACAATTTCTAATAAGGTAGTGTAGATTCCTTTTCCGGCACTCAGGAGCGATGGATATAGATAAATAAGGTGTCAAGCGAAAGGCAATAAAATTCATTAAAAAAAGTAGGAGGTTCATTTGTATATATTTCAAAAAGTATACAATTCTTGGTTGATTATACTTAGGATAATTAGAATGGATTCCTAATCTCATACATGAAAACAAAAAATTAGCATCAAAATTAAATAATTTTTTACCATTTTTTGCCGATTGTAATTTTTACACGTTCTCATCTATTACTTTGAATGAATTACTGTAAGCGAACAAGGGAAATCAAATAATATTTCCTTCCTCTAATAATATTTTGCAATTACTTATTTCCATATTATATTGTCGTTTGTTCACGGACCGATAAATATAGTGTAATTGCGAATTATTAGCTCTAGTTTTTATTCTAGGACAAGCTAGTTTTTTGTCATTTGATTAATGGTTGCTAATGTGTGACATGGCTGTTATGATTACCGTTAAAATATGGTTTTTAGTATAATGTACATTTTAAACAAGATTGAAATATATTTTAATTGTTTAATTTTAGACTTAATATTAAAAACTAAATTCTCTTCACGTCAGTCGATGACTGTACTCTACGTTAAAGGTGTAATCCAGTAACCTAGTACATCGTAAGTTGCATCAATTGGTGGTAGATTTCTTTCTTTTTTTTTTTCTTGTATGAGATGTGCCTGAGATGCAAAATACAAATTTTCGGCCTCGGTAGTCCTCTCTCTTTCTCTCCCGTCTCCCAGAGTCACTTATGAAAAACGCCAAAACTGTTTTATTTTCACACTTTTTCTCCACATTTAGAGCATCAAATTATATTTTTTTGACAAAAAAAAAAAATTATGCATTTTTAAACTATATTGCATTTACTACAATTTGTGACCAGAAGTGGCTCGTTAAACCTACTAGGTTTTGAACTACAGGTTTTCAAAACGTAGAAAATCTCCAAGTTGGAAACTTACCCTCTCCCCCACCACTCCCTCTTATTATTAATTATTATAGCTTAAAATTTTCAAGTTTGAAAAACTTTATCAAAGTTGTAGTTTGAAATCTATTTATACCGAGCATATTCTGGTCTCAAATTCTATTAAATTTAAGGTAGTTTAAAAATGTATAAAACGTGTTTTTTCAAAATTTAAAAATGTACATTGTACTATAAAAAATATTTTATTAACGGTAATCATGAGAGCTATGGACTATTATATACCGCCCTCCCCTTTTTAGATAAGGGTATTGGACTAGTGATATTACATTTTGTTTTGCTTTAGATTTTGTAAATTTAATTTTCATTTTGAAAACCAAATCTTTCACGCACGGTAAAAAAATATATATATTTACCTACAAATTTTTTTGATCTATTTTTTCGAACACCAAATTGTCCTGTCTCTCAAAATGGCCAATTTGTTTTCCGTTTGTAAATACTTATACTTATCCATGAAAACGACAGCCATTTTAAGAAGTTAAATGGCTGAAATGTGTTTCGTAAAACGAGTATTAGAGTAATGTAATCGGTATTGTTCTGCAAGCCCATTTTAAGCATTTGGATGTTGAGGTTTAAACATCTGATGTGGTTGTCTGCTATTTTCTTAAAATAAACTGATAATCTAACGGACAACAATAAAAAAAAAAAAAAAAAAAAAAAGCAAGCAACCAATGCTGAAGGTATGACAGAACAGGCAGAGAGACGGTATTAATTCTACTCCTTGTGATATTATGAGCTTATAGTTTAAAATTTTCTTTCTTTTTTTTTTGTCAATTTTTGGCTCAGGGTAAACCGAATAAGCCAATATATCGTGCGAATTAGGGAACCTCTCACTCGACCATTTAATCTTGTTTAATAAACACTGTTTCTGGTGTATGACCTTCCATTGGAATCTCGTTCGTGGAGAACTCTCCATTTTACAACTTCAGGGACATTTTTTTAGGCCTACCGTATTTTCTTTGTGACAGTTTTGTATGATAAAGTTTGTATAGCATTTTCACGTCACGCCTCTCCATGGGGGTTCTTTCATTATTGGTTAGTATTGGGTAGACCTCTTCACTTTTTCGATCACTAAGGATATTTTGTAACGTTATTCGATTACTCCAATAGTGGATTGTGTTATTAGTAAATTTATTTCCCGGTCCAGTTTGTGTTATGGGACATGGTACTGTTTATGAGCGGAATTACCTGTTTTAGCTGTATGCTATTTCATCATACAATGCCATAGTACTTTATTCTTACGACAAAGGTACACTATCGTATAAATGTGTTCAAGTTTCTCAGGAGATTCCAATGTTTCAGATAATATTAAATCCCTTGTTGGGGGAGAGTGGTCAGTTTTTGTATTTGAAATGTTTCTTTTGTGTTTTTTTTATCCATTTCCCTCTTAGCTTATTTACGATATTAGCCTTCGGAAAATATGGTCAGAATAATGAAACACGACAATAAAATCAAAACAAACAAAATTAGAGCTAAATAGTTTACCTCTGACGTGTAGAAATAAGAGAACACCCGGTCCTTTCGATCAGATAAATTAGGTTTTGATGTTGTTAGCCACGGATCTGAAGGAGAAAATTGTTTTTCATTCGATATACCACTTTTAGCTGTCTTTCTTAATAGTTAGTAACACCAAGTTGGGTTTTAATTTATTGTAACCTAACATTTGAAGAGGTCAGATGCCCCTTTATTGATTATGTATTCGTATCTCTAAGGTGACACTTTCCTTGAATTGTTTCTCTTCAATATTTCACCATTTAACATTTCTTGAGTATTGTGGATGTTTTACTTATTGTCAAAACAATCGTATTACTGAGCAATATTGCCATTGTCCCCCAATGGTCGATGACGCACGCCCCTTCTCTACCAAAGAAATGTATTGCTCTAATTTTCTTTTAAAAAATCGTAGGTGAAATTAAAATTAAAAAAAAAATGTTCATCAATTTCACTTTCTTTGTTCTATTCCACATTTTTCTCATTTTCTACTGATTTTAAAGTTTCTCCGTATCCAAACACCCAAACAAATTTGAATCCCTCAAAAAATTCGGTAGTGGAACTTACGACTTGTAAACTCCTTCTGAGCACCTCTGTAGATGAATAAATAATTTTAAATACAATAGAAAACAAGACATACTTGTTAACCTTTCATCGTGGCGTTATTCAAACAAAATATCGTCAGTTTATTCCGAAAAGTCAACGAGAACATTTCGGATGAAGCTAAACTTTTTACTACGTTTTTGTGTATTTCGACTTATTTATCGATGCAAAAACATAGAATATGCACCAAAACGACAAAAAAACATATTCTACATTAGAAATAGTTAATTTTTCATTATGCGGGTTTGACCTTTATTCTTTTCACACTGATACATTTGCCTAATGGTCCGAATAAATTAATCAAATGAGTCTTTGATTGCAATTTATTGAACGTTTCAGAGAATCTTCGTCCCTCTCTTTAGCAATATTTTAATCTTCCAATTTTGTGACTTACTCAAATTCTTGGGTGTTACAAAAATTTAATACAATAAGATTGGTTGTATGGTACTTAACTTAAGTCACTTATGGTACCTAACTTAACTTAACGTAAGTTAAGTACCATTGAACCAATCTTATTGTATTAAATTTTGCGACTCTAACCCGATTTCTTAAGAGAATAAAATATTGCTAGAAAGGGGGACGAATATTCCCTGAAACGTTCACTAAATTGCAATCAGACTGATTTGATTAATTTATTCTGACCATTAGGCAAATGTATCAGTCAGTGAAAAATAGTTACATCAAGAGCATAATTTTCCTATTCAAGAGATGGAAAATTTATCAGCGTAGTACCGAGTGTTTTAATTTTATGAAATGTTACTTAATTACTTTTTTCAATATTGCAATTAGCTACCGACGACATATTATTATTATACAGGGTGTTTGAACGTTAAGTGGCCAAACTGCAAAAATAAACTAAGGACCTCAAAACAAGAAAAAAATGTCTCTGAAGGTATGTTCGCAAACGCTTTGTTTAGGAGATAATCACACCAAAAGATTTTCGTTGTTATGCATTATTTACATTATATGAAATAAATGAAACCTATTTATTTGTTCTAACTACTTTATTAATTAAATGTAAACATTAACATTCTTATTAAATGTTGTTCAAAGTGATTTTCTTGAGCCTTAAGACAGGCTCGACATCTCTCTCCAACAGCAGCAGTGGCAGAACGACACCGGATTTGTATTATTGTTTCACAAAATTCAATTATCCTTCTTCGTAAGGAATCAATTTCATTGACCTGTCTTACTTATACTTTTTGTTTAATGTCCGTTAAATCAAACAAAAAAATCCCGTGGTATCAGGTTTGGAGAACGTGCAGGCCAAGCCACTGGTCCTGCACTGCCAATCCATCGATTGGGATATGGGATATGATTGAGCAAGTCCGGCCAATGACCTTAATCCCTTACGAAGAAGGATAATTGAATGTTATGAAACTTTAACACATAACCTGCCTTAATG